AGTTGGGGGTGTGCAGATAGGAGAATGGATCTAAATACCATAAAAAAGAAGAGAATAGTAAAAAAATTTTTTAAAGAAAATATAAAACCCCAAATACTATATATTGGAACCATACAAAATCAACACAAAATGGAGGACCAAGAGGATACAATGTCTTCAGAATATCATCTTGCTAGCAATACATTTAATTAAAAAAATTCAACAGAGGGGCTTTCCATACAATAACCAGGACTTCAAAAAATGAAACTTCTAGCCAGGTATGTTGGTTCACATCTGTAATTCCAGCATTTGAGAGACTGACACAGAAGGATTGCTGTATGCCTGAGGGTCGCATGAGCCGCATAGTTCCAGGCCAGTATGAGCTACAGAGTGACCATGTCTGAAAAAGGAGAGAGAGAGAATGAATATGAATGAATATGTCTGCATTTTTTTCCTATGGCAATATTTACCAAAGTGTGGTTTATACACCACTAACAATCATTAGGCAATTCATGGACAATTTTTATTTTGATAGTTACTTTAGTGTTTCAATTTATTATTTTGTTATGTATTAGAAAAATACAGCACACCAAACATGATTTCAGAAATGTAATTGCTTAGAATGAGTCAAGTGGCTAAAGTGTGTGGAATGCTGGTACAAATAAAGACTCTAGATCTGAGGGCTGCTCACTAGCAGGCTGTTCTCCATTGTGAGCAAAGCTGTTTGATCAGCACCTGTTCCAACCTCGTGCTCACTAAGCAACTTCCTGTGAGTCACCTAACAAGTATTTGACATAAATAAACAGACCAGCACTACTTGTTTCCAATTATGAATCAATACACTGACAATTCTGGCTTAGAAATCAGTCTTGTTTGAGCTTAGCTAGCGTTCCTGAGAAGTTCTACTTGAAATCATCCAGCCTTTCTCCAGGATATTCAGTGGCCACCTAACACTGTTACAAATGTTAATGAGAGCTTAAACTGAGAAAAACAGAAAATCCAAATACTACATCAGGTATCTCAGATAATCCTTCCATAGACTAAGGGCCTTTCCTGGTCCTTGGTCACATAACAGAGGTTCATCAGTGAACTGTGGAACTTGGTGAACAAGTACTAGGAAACAGAATAGCAGCGTATAGCCCTTTCCATTCTCACTGAATGTTACCTACCCTTAAGACAAGAAACATGTCCCACACAGTGATGGAAAAGTGGATATCATCTAGCATGCTGGGCGTATTTTAAAAAGTATTTGCTTTAAGAGACGTAGTCAGCTAATAACCAGATCCTGCCTATGAACTTTGACAAGAAATGAATCTTTTAGTCTGCTCTCTAAGACTGAAGGATTGCCACCGCTGGCCTGGTGGCATAGGCCTGTAATACCAGCACTTGGGAGGTGTAGGGGAGGATCAAGAGCTCATCTGCATAGAAAGCTTGAAGTCAACCTGTGCTATACAATGCCTTACTTCAAAAAATCAAAAGTAAAGGAATAAAACAAAGGCTGGCTAGACAATTCCATGTGCTTGCCACCAAGTCTGATGGCCTGAGTTTGATCCTGGGGATCCACATGATGGGAAGAGAGAACTAACTCCCACAAGTTGTACTCTGATTTCCAGACATGGGCCACTGTGCACTGCAAGGGACATTAGAAAGGGGAATCCCCCAAGGCACAGGGAACTAGGGCAATAGATCTAGCTGCTCAGGAGGTGGCTCTAGAACAAATGGGGCTCTTCCAAGTCCTCTTCACATTACCAGAACCAAGCCTGCCCCACAAGCCTGCATACACCCTGGAGGAGGAAAAATGGGCACAACTAGAGGGCACAAAACAAGGAAAAGAAAGATGGTGGTTGTTGCTAGACAGAAGACCTATCCTCCCAGCAGCCCTATGGAGACAATTGGTGACCCAAGTCCACCAGGCAACACATCAGGGGGTCACAAAGATTATTTCACTCCTCAGGCCCAGGTATTACATTCCCAGGCTAGACTATGTCACCAAAGGCATTGCATCCAAATGTCCCACCTATGCCTAGGTAAACCCTAAAGAGAGAAAGAAAGCCCCGGAGGGGATACATGCTTGCAATGCCACCCCTGGGGAGCACTGGGAATTGGACTTTACCGAGATTAAACCAACTGACTTCAGGTACATGTATCTCTTGATATTTGGGGACACATTTTCTGGACGGGTGTAAACCTTTCCCACCTGAACCAAAAGAGCCTCTATAGTGATTAAGAAGCTGTTCTAGGAATTGGTCCCTAGGTTTGGCCTTCCTCTCACCCTGGGGTCCAACAATGGTCTGGCCTTCACAGCCAATATTTCCCAAAATCTGACAAAGGCATTAAATATTAATTGGAAATTACATTGTGCCTATAGAACACAGAATTCAGGTCAGGTAGAAAGAATGAACAGAACCTTAAAAGAGACCCTGACCAATTTGGCTATAAAAACAAGTGTAAGTTGGGACAACCTCCTTCCCTTTGCCCTCCTGAGGATCAGGCATACCTCCTACTGGGAAGGATTACATAAAATGGAAATCACTACTCACTCCCTTCTCAAGTCATTAAGGCTCTACAACAGACTCAGAGGAGCATTCATCAGACAGACTGAGAAA